TACACCACACGTTAAGGACCATTTTGTAGTGGAAAAAAAATATATATATATATAATATATATATAATGGGATAGATATACAGCTACTTTCTCTTAGTTCAATGAGAAGATTTGTACCAATAGTGTTTAGACAAGATATCATGTCTGCATCTTGTACTATGAGTAACTACTACGAAGACAACATGCAGTGTATGAACTATTGTAATTGTCCTACTAACCTGTCTTGAAACTCTCATTTATATTTTTTCTCAATAAAATTAATAAAAAATGTAAAGCATATATTAAGAAGCCTCACTTTAAAATCATAGCATAGAAATATGTCTATACCATTTATAATGGAACAAAAGTAGCATGAAAAATGCTGTATTGTATCAGTCTATTTATAAATGTATTTTATTATACATGTTCTTTATTATTACTTAGGAAAACTGGAATACATGTTTATGGAAGCTTTGTACAGGAGAGAATGTGCCCCAAACCAGGATTCAGAGGAAATAAAGGCAAGGGACACATCTCTGTGTCCTCCCTGCATGAGCCATTTAGTAGTTACTAAGGTTCAGTTACTGCACCTGCAAAACTGGGGGACCCACGTGGAGGATAAGAGGTTTGAGGAAAATCCACCAAATTGTAATCTTTTAAGAGGCATCAGGTAAATACAACATTAACATTTAACCTGTAAAAGCAAGAAGGGCATAACGGTTTTCTCATCAGTTTGACTCTTTTTAATGAATTAGGAAAATCTACCTTGTAAATTATATTTTATCACTGCATTATTTGTGTAGCATTCAGATATATTATCCCAATCCTACAGTTTACCAAAAACATTCATTTAAGATTATTTTTGGAGAAACATTTGCAAATATGCTATACACTGCCCTTATGAGTAAATATGTATGTATCTAAGGTCTAGGTTTGGAAGAATTTGCCTACAGATATCATTTTCTTCTTAAAAGTTCTTTACCAGTAATTTGATTTAAATTACAATACAAAGCATTGTGGGGCTTCCACGTGCACAGTTCTTTCTTATCCCATATGGATCAAACATTTCCAGAAATAAGATGATGTGTAATGAATTCATCTCTGTCACCAGCAACTGTATTGTAACAGGGCTCCATTACAGACGGTGAACCAGTAAGCTGCCATCCAGTTCCTTTGAAGTGGACCCTTGCTTCTCCTTCCAAGACTCCCAAAGCATGCCACTGGCCGCCTAAAGCCTTGAACCTGCTTGGCAAGTCAGGTGCGTTGTTTGCTTGGCTGTTAGGCCTGCTGGCTTCCTCGGGCTAATTACAAAATCCGCTGCCCTGGAGAAGCACACAGCTGAAGAGCATCATCGTGTCTCGGAACACTGGCGCGTGTGTCCTTATTACTAATGCACCAAGCATGAAGCTTGGAAAGGTCTCCTGTCATCTGGAAATTGGGGGGCATCATCCAAAGACATAAATATCTCTGAACAAAGCTCCAGCTGAGCTGCGTCAGGCGTGCGCCCTTCCTTGTGTTTCCCATACAGCTTTCAATTTGCTTTCCAAACATTTCTTTGTTGCATTTGGCTGGGGTGCACTTTAAAAGAAGCACATCGTTAACCACAGAGAATGCGCACTGTTTTCTGTGATTTCAGACCAGCTCTAAGCACTTTCTCACTAAGCGGCCGGCAGCAATTACCCGGCTGCTGAAGACACTTCTAGGCACAGAAAGGCTTCAGTTTCTGGGACAGCCGGCAAGCAGGGCTCTAACAAATGATGACATATGTTTGGGCCCTTTCACTAGATGCCTGCCCCCAGAGGAAGGGTGAAACCATTTTTGTGCAAATTCCACAGGCACATCCGACAATGCCTCCCTCTTCTCTCACTCACACAAACTGGGTTTTCATTCATCCGCAGGATTACTTGCCTCAAATGGGCACTCACAGTTGCTAAATGGCTTGGGAGGGGGGTGGGGTGTCAGAAAAGGGGCAAAGAACAAGGAAAGGACAGGAATCCGTCAGGGAAATGAGAGCTGAGCTACTTCACTGCAACCAAATCCTGAGGTTCTGAAAAACCAACCCTAAAGGACAATCTGCTTCCCATCCCCAGCTCTGGTCTCTGTGAAAGAGAGGGTAGAAACTGACCTCCCAGCATCCCAGAGGGGACACCGTCACAAGTGTAAGTGGCCCCAGAAGAGGCAGCTTACACTTGTAAGGTGTAGTCTTATCCCATAGACTACACCTATGCCGGCTTCGCTTCCCAACCCCAGCACCTCTATCTTCTCTGTTCCATGTGGATAGTCTCTGGTCGTATACCCTTGAAGAAGGTATCTCCAGGCAGGCCTGGCAAATGTGCATAACGATAGCTCTTCCAGATATAGTTTTAAGGACAGCTAAACCTGTTGGCATGACATAAGCAAATTCAAAATCTGATATCTTAGCTCCCTAAGCCTACAGGCAAATGTCACACTGCCCTCTGCAGGTGCTCTATTGGGTCTAAGCTGATTAGTGACACTAACTACCAAACTTACAGGGTGGTCACAGTTCAGAACTCTCACCACAGGAAGGTGCTGGGGTGGGGGAGGGAAAGCAGGAAGGTGAGCAGGGCTGGGCCACAGTTCCCCTACTGGGCTGGCAGAGGATCCAGCTGGTAGGCAGCATCAGTCTCCAGGCAGATATCCAGGTGAACAGGCATTGGCTTCTTCCAGCTTCTACCCGGGAGCTACACCAACAGAGCCGAAAGGTGAGCAAGGCCAGCTCTCCTCAGACTCCATAGCAAAACAAGGGTACAAAGCCTATGAAGAAAATCACAAACTCTACATTTAAGAATCCTACTTATGTGTTTATGTAGTTGCTTAACATGGCCTTATTATACTATTATAAACAGTCTCACACGGTTTCCAGAGAGAAGAGATTCAACCACAAGTACACAGAGGGAAGTAGAAGCACCGGCCAGGATGATCCCGGTGGAACTGAAACTATCTTTTTTATTACATCATTTGGTGTCTTTCTTCTCATTAAAGAGGCTTTAAGAAAACTGTCATTCCACTTAACTGATTGGTGGAATTTTACGCGTCCTAAAATGAGTAGGTTGTTTTAGGAAAGGAAACAGTAAAGCATGTTGGCCCAGTGAGAAAACCATTATCCCCTACGTATGAAAATAAGGAACCTATTTTTGGAGAAGGAGAAAATACAAGTAAAATCCACTTTCTTGCTTACTAACGATGAAAATATCCATTTCTAATTTATCTTACAGTGGTATCTATTTAGTGCTTTGAGAAAAGTCCCATGTTTCAAGCTCAATCTTAAAAACTCTCAATTAAGCCTTTTGAAGTCTTTATAAAGAACTACCAATAATGTGAAAATATTCTATAGTATAATGGAGTCTATATTGACAGCACAGTCTATAGGGCCTGTTTATGTTAAGTGGAATCATGATTCTATTCAACCTTTCAGTAGACATCAAACTGGATAGGCTTCCTAGAAATGCTATTCTTGACAAAATTAATAGATGTTAACCTTCAGTCTGTTCCCTGCTGTGTAATATGTCCAAGGTAAGATATGGCACATTTCCTCCTAGGAAACACACAAGAATAATTGAAGGATATGTTACATTCTTTACCCTGCAGAAACATGCAAAAAACAACTTGGTTGGACTGTGTGTAAATAAGGTATTCTCTGCTTTCTATCAAAGTAGAGGAAGTTTAGTGAGGCCTAACTTTGGAGAAGAATCCTCATCTAACAGTTGTGAAGTCTGAGATTCTACAGTGGTGTAAAAGTTACACATGAGTGAATGTGATCCTTGTAAGACTTTATTGGAGTGGGAACATACTTACTTAGGATGGAAATGATTACTTTATTTTTAAAAACGGGCAACTGGGCAGTATTGAGCTTTTAGTGAGGAATAAAACTCTAGCCCAAGCCAGAAGCGGGGTTCAAGTAGCAGGGCACCACAGTTAGAACATTTGTGGAACTGGACTCTCAGGAGTCAGGGATAAAATTACAGAGGAATCCATGGGGAACACTGATTTTAATACCATCAAAGCCTTAAGACAATACCAGAGCAACTATAACCCTCACTGGACTTTTAACATAGGGCAGTATTTCTGGATGAACTTTGGTAAGTACAGCATACCTTCCCGGACATCCAAACCTCGGTCAGAATCAAATTCCAAAGCAAGTATCCACCAAATTGTTCTGGCTCTCTGTCTCTGTCTCTGTCTCTGTCTCTCTGTCTCTGTCTCTCTCTCTCCCCCCCACCTTCCTCCGTGTCTCCCCCTCTCCCTTTCTCTTCCTCTCTCCTTCCCTTCCTCCCTGTCTTCCTCTCTCCCTGTCTCTCCCTCTGCTGAATGGGCACCAGTACTACTCTAGTCCCCTCAAAGCAAATTGGCAGCAAAGTAAATCAACTTTTGTTGCCTATTAAAGCATCGAAGCAAAACACAAAACAAAACAAAAATTACCACATAATACAGGATTTCGCCTGGGGGGCGTTCACCACGAAGATCTCTAAAGGCGGCTTCCTAAACTGCGCCCCGCTGCTCGCTCCCTCGCGCTTCTTAGGGACCCCTGGTTCCCCTGCAGCTGGGGCGCTAAGCTCAGCCCCGCGCCTGGGCTTGGAAGAGACTGGACTCCCGGAGACCCCAACCACAGACAGCAAGATCGTGAAGTGCTATGCTTTCTGCAACTGTTCCCCCCCCCCCACCCCATTCCGAACTGGCCGCTGAGGTCTCCCGACCTCCTTTCCCTCCAAGGATGGTTGGTGCCGGCAGGTGCGGAGAGGAAGGACCCTGGCGGGGCGCGGTGACAGGAAAGCTTGCAGTGAGGGAAGCTGCCGCCACGCTCCCCGGTGCTCTGATCCTGGGGCCCTCGGGGTGCGCAGCCGGGTGCCCAGACCCGGGTTCCGAGGTGATGGCGACGGTGCGGGCATGCGGGCTGGGGCGGTGCTGTGGGGACCCGGGGTGTCCACCCGCGGCCGAGATGCAGCCGGTGGCCGGGGCGCCCTTCTGGGGGCGTCCAGGAAGACCCGGAGGTGTCGCGCTCACCTGAAGGTAGGGTCGCCCGTGGGCCACCCCGCCCACGACGATGTCGGCCGCAGCCATGGTCCCCGCGGGCGAGAAGCCGAAGCCCACGTAGCCAACCGTGCGCACCTCGAGGCGAAAGGCCAGGCGGTTGCCCCGCTGGCCCCAGCCCAGCCAGTACTGGCCCTCGGCGTCCAGCATCGCGCAGCGCGGGTACGACTTGGCCGAGCCCCACGCCGCGGGCGAGGGAAGCAGAGCGCACAGCACGAGGATCAGCGGCCACCCGCGCATCCTGCGTCCGCGCACCTGGCTGCTGCTGCGGGACGAGGCGGGCGCTGAGCCTGGACCGCCCCACTGCGGGAGGGAGGCAACCCGGGGGGAGGGGACCCGGGGGAAGCGGCCCGGAGGAAGGGCTGGGCGGTCGGTCCAGCCCGCCCCTCTCTCGTCTTGTGTAAGTCCTCTAGCTTTGCCCCGAGATCCACCTGCTGCTCCACTTGACCCCCACCCCAGTCCCTGGGTTGTGGGTTTGGTGGGAAGAAAACCGAGGAGCTTGCTGGACAGAGACAGAGGAAGAAGCAGAGGTTGAGAAGGGGCGGCCTGGGCAGAGGGGAGAAGAGGGAGTCTTGGACGGGGAAGAGCCTAGGTGATTCCTGGGGAAGCCCTGGAAAAGGATAAGGGGAGAAGTTGGTATAGTGGGAATTGAGACAAAGTCCCCTCCCGTAACCTTAGTGCCCCTGTACCCGGGTGGTGGATTCCCTAGGGCCATGATACTTCGAGATGCCCACGCACCACAGAGGGACAAACCTATCTTCCTTGGCTTGTGCCCCAGTCTCTCCTGGCAGCCCCAAAGCTCCTCCTTTCCAGAGGAAGCCTGCGGAGTATTTGCCTTCCACCTGCGTTGGGTTGGGGTCCATTGTGAGAGCGCACCATCTGATTAACTACTTTGCCATCAGGAGTGTAGGTCAACATTGATTTTTATTTAAATTTTTGTTTTCCTTTTAAAAAAGTATTAGTACATCTTTGCAGCCCATAATGATTATATTCGTCGTGCGGAGTTGTTACCTGTACACATCTTCTTTATTACTTTCCTCACTCCTCCTTTCCCCCATTTTGTGGTCTCCTTCCCCTCATTACCATTCTCCTTTCCTAATACTTGCAAGTTCTAGACATCTGTGTTTGTCAAAAGTAGGTTTTGTTTAGGTTTTGCCCATACCTTTCAAAAACAAAGTACTTCTGTCTTTAGAATGCTCCATATTCAGTATGAGTCCATTATGTATGCTCTGCATGTGTCCAAAAATATCTCAGGTGGCTTACAAAAGTGTAAAGACAACTGAGAAGAGATCTGATGAGACATAAACACTAAGAGTACACATCCATACTGCTTCCTCTGGGTGTAGAGGCCCGCACAATGTACTGCCACTTTCTCACTGTCCACAACTTCTATTACGGATTGTTTTTTCTTTCTTGCACCCATAACCTTTCCAACATTGCCAGCATGCGCCTGGTGTGCACTCTGCTATCCCGAGCAGCCCTTTGCTTTACAGGGCAGAGACTTTGGACACTTAAAGTATTAGGGCAGTAGAAGGTAAACCTGACTTGTGAGTCTTCTTTTATTCTTGGGGGACAGTAGGGGAGCTCAGGAGTGACACATTCCTATTATCTGCTTCCTGAGGTTCCTAATGTGACATCCGAAATTCACACCTGCCAGAAAATTTTCTATCTTGCTATGAAGATGAAATGATGTCAGACCTTGTTGCCAGCCATTCACTGCTCTCACTTCGCCTCCCACCACACTGGCCTTGCTGCCCCGTGGACCTGGAAGCACTGCACATCAGTAGGGCCTGCCCTGGAGCTGCGCGGCTTCCTTCCCACCCCAGCGCCTCTTCACAGTGCTCTCTGAACTGCATTTGCCTTTTCTCCTTTTGTCCTTTGAAGGATTTCCTGGTCTTCCAGCCACCCTTCACAGTCAGACAGTAACAACCCTTCCATGGTGATGCAGTGGTGCCAAGAATGTTCTGTCCAAGTGACGTGTGGTGCCAAGGACACTTGGGTTCATGGTGGCTTGTTTCCCCCCGTTTCCCTCCACTAGCTTCTCTGGGTCAACTACCGCATGGAGATCCTTGCCTTCAACCCGTTGCCTAGAATAAGGCTTGACACACAGCAGGTGCTTAAAAAATATTTGTAGGAAGGCTGAATGGATGACATCCTGTTCCTACTGCAAGCTTCTCTTAACAGAACTGAACTGTGAGGGGAAGCTTGAGCCCTAGATATGCTTGAGTGTTCTGCTGTGCTTCGGTATTTAGGCAAAAATAGAAAAGACCACACATGACTACAGAAAAGAGAAAGTTTAAAAATGTTTTTCATTATTTCATTAAGATCACTGAGTGTGAAGTTATTTCTTTTGTTGTGACTGGCATTGCTTCTAAAAGTTCTAACCATTCAAGACACATTAATACTAATGTATTCATTTGCAGATCAGATCAACAAGCGGAACATTATTAGTATGATTCTTACGCAAGAGACCCACTCAATTGACTTAACCCAGTAATTTAAGATAGAAAATGTTGCCTCTGTGCACTTTAAAAGCTGTTTGAGTTCCCTGGATCAAAACTAATTCTATGGCTTCCATTGCATGCAGGACTCACTTACCCTCTTTGGAAACAGGTACCCATTCACTGTTTGTCTTAAATTTGTAGGGGGAGCAGGAAGGGGCTGGGACTGTGCTCAGGGATAGGTTGTCCACTTAGCACAGAGGGGCCCTGGAATGGATCCAGCACTGCCCTCAAATGGAGCAGAAGGCAGGAGGAAGCGAGACAAAAGCACAAGCTCCTTAAAGACTCAGGGCTTATGGCAGAGAGGAGAATGAAATCAATGCTAAGAATTTTCAAAATTATTTCTATTATTATTTTTGTAACATGAAACTGGCTTATTTAAAGAAAATAAGCCAGGAAGTGTGAAAAAATACGAATAGGAAAGTAAACGAAAATAAAAAATCACCTGAAATTCCACTAGCCAAAAATAACTCTTGTGTGCATTCCTGGGACAAAATTCCAGAAGCCAGTTCCACTTATGGAGGAGTAGCTGTTGGGCAAGAATTTGCAAAGAAATAAGTAGATTAATTTTGTGAGACTCCACTTGGAATAAACAGAGTGATTCTAAACAAGGTAGTTACAAGCACATTTCATAGGCTTTTTTTCTTGTTACGTATCCTTGGTACACACGAATACACAAAAGAAACAAAATAAAATTAAAGATGCAGTAAGGTATTCCTCTAAATTACTCATTCTTAAAGTGAGTCATTTTTTCACATTTTTTAATTAAGAATTTAAAATATCACATTTACTGTGATCCCAGCATGTGCAGCCAGTGGCTACACTCAAGCTAAGCCTCCTCATCTCCAGATTCTCTGTTGTTTAAGTTTATTATTATTTCTACATTAGTCAACTGCAAGAGGCTGGTGGAGGGGATGAGAGGATGAGCCAAGGCCAAGTCTATAGCCTGGCATGAACTAAGGGTGGTCTGCCATCAGTTTTTTCTTCTAGAGAGTATCATAATTCTCCTGCCTACTTGCACCTGAGAACAACAATAATATTAATGTTCATAAAGTTCCTCTCTTCTAGGGAACTCAAAGGTAAATATTTATATAAGTATTCTCAGCAGTTCTCCAACGTCCAAATAGGGAAGCTGAAGCAAATTTTCACTATGGTCGATGAACTAAAGCCACTTGTGTGGATAGGTGACTGGTTTAAATTCATGCTATGAGTCAGTGTGGGAAAGCTGAAAACAGAACTTTGTTTCCTTTATCTTTTTTCTTCAAACTACATAGTTTCTCTAGTTATCACCTTATTTCTAATGAAAGGCAGTCACTTTCAAAGCCACCATGTCATCAGTAAGAAACATTCTTTTGTCTAGGCTATTTAAAATTTTGTCTGACTTTTTAAACAAGCAAGATGCTGTGATCTATCAATGAATGTTGTTCTCCCCATTTTAATCATGGATGCAATGTTAATGACAGTGGCGTAGACAGAGAAAGTGAGGATATAGGGCATTTGTTTTTATTATCACAAAATTGTGATGTGCTTAGCTGGTTCTTGAACTTAGTTTGAAATAGAGTGCCAGTTGGCACTGAAAATCACCTTAGGTCTTCTAAATAACCATTGCAAGGAAACCACTTGGTGAAAACCCTACAGTTTAGTATTATCTGTGACTATTCTCTAAAGAAAAGCTGTGTCCACTGGGGGGAAAAACTGTAAAAGAAAACAGCAAGTTCACCACAGATGCCATCTACCAGGATTTCCCTTTATAGGGAAGCATGATGTGTACCAGCAATACAGTAGGAAAGAGACTGATTCAAGCTAAATACTCAACCTATGTTACCTAAAAGTCATGATTTTAAAAGTTCGTGGGGGCTTGTTGAGCGTAATATGCCTTGGAGCTGAGCTCTTTATCTGAGTGATTTTTAGCCTACAAAAAAATCTATGTCATCACACTTTGATAAATGTCACTTCCAAGGGAGCAGGCAACTGATGCTGTTGTTGACAGCAGGAGAAATGAGAGGTGGAGAAGTGGGCTGCGTTAGCCATTGGGGGACTCTTCCTGGTACTCCTAGCTTGCATATAAAGCATCGGGTCCTGAACGGAAGTCACCATTTAAGGCTACATTTTTAAAAGTCAGGCCTAGCAGGAATGTTGGTTTCTGCACACAATTGATAGCAATGTCTGCACACCCTTCATTAAAGGAAATTTCTTTGGGTTTCTCAACTCTGATAATGGGTGTTAGCTTTACCAAGTCTGACCAGGTATGTTGGAAGTAAGAGCAGAGAGCAAGGGACCCTTGGAGGTGTGCTTTTCACCCCAAGCGTAGATTCCCGAGGAGCCAGTCTTCTCACCAGGTGTAGTTGGCACTCCAATACTTGTGCACTGTTACATTTCTGTGGCCTGCAGTTTAAGTCCATTCTTAGTCAAAATCAACAACCAGCACTGAGTCCACACTGAACACAAACTTACCTTCATGCTAAAAACGAGAAGATTCACTGCAACTTGATTCCAAAATTCCCCATGTGCTTGGGATAGCTTAGAGAAACTTGTACTATAGTGATATAATAGAAAACTAAAAATATTAAATTTAAAAACTAAAAACACAATTGAGATCAGTATAGTCATTTTAAGGAATAATAAGCGCCACAATTTCCCTTAATAAAGGAAATAACTAATAAACAGTGTTTCATATAAAAATGGACGTACATGGGATGGGAGGTGACTCATCACACGAGCACTTTCCTGGCAAGCACAAGGACCTGT